GACTTTGTTATTAGGATGACAACTCTTATTTTCATAAAAGATCAGGCACAGCAAATATTCTACAGGTTTTAAAATACCTACAGCAAACCAATTAGAGAACCTTTTAACAGCAATGAAGAGGTGGCCCAAGGACAATTTAATTCAGTCACAAATAAGTAAATTATTAAGCTGAAATAACATGCTCAAAATCTAAATCTAAAATTGAAAATGAACCAACAGCCAAGTACTGTGTCTAATGGTCAGAAAAATGAGGGCGGCACTGTGGCTCAAGGAGTAGGGCGCCAGCCCCATATGCTGGAGGTGACAGGTTCTAACCCAGCCCCAGCCAAAAACTGCAAAAAAATTAAAAAAAAAAAAAAGAAAAACGATGGATTCTAAATTCAGCGTCAGTGAGATACGGAAAATCACCCTAGGCAAAAAATTCCATTTTGACACCAAAGGGAAGCGAACTCGTATTAGTTAGTATTTCTCATAACAAAACACAAAAACTAAACCCTTTTTGAGCACCATGCAGTACCTGGTACTAGTTTAAGTATTTTGTAAGTATTAAATCATTTAATCCTATGAGGGATGTTACTCTATCACTGCCTCCATGATACAGATAAGGAAACTCAGATCAATAAATCACTCAACATAGTTAATGTAGAGCAGGGCTGGGAATTAAATACAATTTGCCTTAAAGACCTGCCCTCTTATCTACACACACTGCCTCTCAAAACCCCTACAGATTCTTCTCATTTTTAAAGAAACCTGAGTCTGAACAGTTAAGCCAAAATTCAGTCTCAAATATCAAACCAAAGCCTGTGTTTCCTTTACTAAGTATCAGTGCTGATAGAACAGATTCAGAACCACTGAAGTGAATGGGAGCTCTGCATCCTACCTTTAATCAAGGGTCTAAATTTAACCCCCACCCCCAGCCACATCTTCCCCTCTACAATCAGTTTAAATGGGGCTACTGCACCACAGCATGGGTCAACAAGGGTTTGTTAGGCAATGCTATGAAGCTAAAACTTGGATCTGCCAGGAAACACTGCATCCAATCAGAGGATGGCAGGGCTGTTACCAACTACTCCCATCGCAGCTTTAAGAGGCTTGAGGTCCAAGGACTTGAATATGGCCAGGCTCCTTTCACAGAACACACAATAGTAATGCACAGTTCATGGAAAATATTTTTATTGGCCTTTTGGATAGAAACGGGAATTTATTTGCCAGGAAGGATGATCCCATCATACTGAAAGAGAAGAGATTTTATTTTTTCAGAACAGGAGGCAACAATAAAGAGCGCAGCAATGACTAACACTTGAGAATTCAAATCTCATACATGAGCCTCAAGCTCTGAATCCCATATCCTTTCTGGACTAAACAGGAAGTTGCTGGTTTTAACAACTGTGCTCAACTCCACAATAATCTGAGAATAGGGGACTCCCTTTTAAAGTCCTACTTCTAGATGTTCTTTAGTTCTCATATACGAAAACATAAAAACTAAACACTTTTTGAGCACCATGTTGTACCTAGTACTACTGTTAAGTATTTTGTTAAGTATAACTTAACAATTTAAGTTCCTCAATTATTTTATCCTTAAAGAAACTACCCATCAAATAGTACTGTATTTTTACATGCCCAAACCCCAACTCCATTCACCAACACCACAAAAAACACCACTTCATTTGAGATCAATCAATCAACTTTACCTTCTGCTGGAACCAGCGCATAGCCTCCTCTTTGCTGATTCTGTGTTTGGCCCCAATGCAGCCTGTCCTGCGCTTCTTGTCTGCAATGCTGAAACCTGGCCTACCCAGCACCTGTCCCAGGAATAATCAACAGTCACCTACCCAGCTCAGAGTCAAGAGCAGACAGACACATACATCAGAGATTGATTTTCAAGTCACCTGCCAGCCCATGGAATCTGAAGCAAAACCCATGATCTCAGCTTCTGACAGAACTGTCGTCAGCATTCCAGAAAACAACATGGCCATATTACAGACTTGTTTTAGAGGCTGCAATTTACTTTCTTTTTTTTTTTTTGAGATAGTCCACTTTATGTCATTCTTGGTAGAGTGCCATGGTGTCACAGCAATCTCAGATTCCTAGGCTCAAGCGATTCTCTTGCCTCAGTCTCCCGAGTAGTTGAGACTACAGGTGCTGCGACAATGCCCGGCTATTTTTTTTTAGAGGTGGGATTTTGCTCTGGCTCAGTCTGGTCTCAAACTTGAGAGCTCAGGCAATCCACTGGCCTAGGCCTCCCAGAGTGGAAGGATTATAGGCATGAGGCATGAACCACCCCACCCAGCCCTGGAGCTGGAACTTTCAATACCTTCTCCTCTCCCTCCCAATGGTGCTCAGGATCCTCTTCTACTACTCAACAATCTCCAAAGCACTTTTGCTTTTAAAATTAACATTTAAGGGCATGGTAGCTCATGCCCATAATCCTGGCACTCTGGCAAAGCCGAGGCAGGTAGACTGCCCGAGCTCACAGGTTCAAGACCAGCCTGAGCAAGAATAAGACCTCGTCTCTAAAAATAGGTAGGCCCTGTAGCGGTTGTCTGTAGTCCCAGCTACTCAGGAGGCTAAGGCAAGAGAATGGCTTGAGTCCAGGCGTCCAAGGTTGCTGTGAGTTATGATGCCATAGCACTCTACCGAGGGCAACAAAGTAAGACTCTTATCTCAAAAAAAAAAAAAATTAACATTTAAAAATGTATTGTGGGGTGGCACCTGTGGCTCAAGGAGTAGGGCGCCAGCCCCATATACCAGAGGTGGCAGGTTTAAACCCTGCCCCCGCCAAAAACTGCAAAAATAATAAATAAATAAAATAATAAAAAAAAAAAAATGTATTGCCAGGCCAGGCATGGTGGCTCACACCTGTAATCCTACCAAGATTGCTTGAGCTCAGGAGTTCAAGACCAGCCTGAGCAAGTCTCTACTAAAAACAGAAAAACTATGTGGCTCTGTGAGTAGGGCGCTGGCCCCATATGCTGAGGGTGGCAGGTTCAAACCGGGCCCTGGCCAAACTGCAACAAAAAATGGATAGGTGTTGTGGTGGGCACCTGTAGTCCCAGCTACTCAGGAGGCTAGAGAGTCACCTAAGCCCAGGAGTTGGAGGTTGCTGTGAGCTATGATGCTATGGCACTCTACTGAGGGCACTAAAGTAAGACTCTG